CTCACTCTATCCAGGGCAACAAAGCAAGACTCTGTCTCAAAAAAAAAAAAAAAAAAATTAGTATTTTAGAGATGGGGCCACTTTTAGTTTATGTCAACAGGAAGCAGAATAGGTTAATATTTAACCTTTTTTCCATAACTTGAGAGTATGCCTTCTAGTCATCTAAGAATGATTTTAGATTACTAAAATACAAATTCAAAAGAGAAGCATAACCCTAAAATTATCTGATCTATTAAAATACCATTCCTGCTGTTGCTCAGCACCATTGTAATTCTGTCAATTGCATTTGTGTGTAGAGCAAGATCATTAGAATTACAGTGGCTCCTACATGACTGCCTGGGATGCTTTTTATATGGCTTACAGCTGGCTTAAATAAGAATGGAGTTTTCTGTCATTTATGTTGACCTGGAAGCAAAGTTTAATCTTCAAGTAGGTGGATAAAAGCAGAAGAACACCAAAGCAGATTGACAAAGATTCCATCAACTATGATCATACTGACTATATTATCATGACATAAGCTTTGGGTTTTAGTCAATTACTGTTATTAGCCAAAGTTATTAAATGGCGATATTTAGGCCTTACTAAATTTTACATATATGCAGAAATCTTATTCTCTATAATGCCGCTTCTGGAAAAGCAAAGAAAATAGACATTGTCATATCAGGATTGTGGCCCGAAGTCATATTGTGGTTATTCTGTGAATATGTAGCTAATTGTTATTCTCTAGCCTCTCCAAAAAATTTTTGACTAGTGTGATGAAATATCACAATAGTTGTTACTTTCTCACCTTTCTTAAAAATGGTAAAAATGGTGCATCTATTAAGTTTGATGACATTAACAATGAGGAAACTATTTTTATAGATGTGTCAACCACTGTTTCCTTGTGTTGTGTTCAAGGTTTAGGTAGTGGCTACAGGTGAATTGATAAAAATCTGTTGGAAAGCATTACAATGTGTAGCAAGAGCCATCAGAGTTCATATTTTTTAGTTCACTAATTTCACTTTAGGGAGTCTTAACTTCAGAATAAATCTAGCGGAGGCAGAAAAACTACCATGTACAGAGATAAAAATGACATAATATATATA